CGTATTTAGGTGGCGAAACCCACACTTAGAACAAATCACAGTTTGTCGTTATCCATAGTACTTATATAAATATATTATATATATATTATATATATTATATATATATATATATATATATATATATATTATATATATATATATATATATATATATATATATATATACATTTGAACCTATATACATGTATACGTCAGTGTCTATACTTGTACATGTGCGTATTTAGGTGGAGAAACCCACACTTAGAACAAATCACACTCTGTCCTTATCCATATGATATATATATAAATACACACACTTGAACCTATATACATGTATACGTTTGTGTCTATACTTGTATATGTGCGTATTTAGCTGGTAAAACCCACACTTAGAACAAATCACATTTTGTCGTTATCCATAATATACATATATATACACACATTAGAACCTATACATATATCTTTGAGTCTATACTTGTACATGTACGTATTTAGGTGGCGAAACCCACACATAGAACAAATCATATTTTGTCGTTATCCATAAATATTTGTATTATATATATATATACGTTTGAACCTATATGCATTTATACGTTTGTGTCTATACTTGTATATGTGCGTATTTAGCTTGCGAAACTCACACTTAGGATAATCACATTTTGTCATTATCCATAAAATATGTATATTTATACACATTAGAACCTATATGCATATATACGTTTGAGTCTATACTTGTACATGTGCGTATTTAGGTGGCGAAACCCACACTTAAAACAAATCACATTTTGTCATTAAGCATAAATATATATACACACATTTGAACCTATATATTTGTATACGTTTGCCTTTATGCTGTATATGGCGTATTTAGGTGGCGAAACCCACTCTTAGAACAAATCACATTGTGTCGTTATACATATTTATTTATATATATATACATATACACATTTGAACCTATATGCATTTATACGTCTGTGTCTATACTTGTATATTTGCATATTTAGCTTGCGAAACCCACACTTAGAACAAATCACATTTTGAACAAATCACATTTTGTCATTATCTATAGAATATGTATATTTATACACATTTGAACCTATATTTATTTATACGTTTGTGTCTATACTTGTATATGTGCGTATTTAGGCGGCGAAACCCACACTTAGAACAAATTGCATTTTGTCATTATCCATAAAATATATGTATATATATACACATTTGAACCTATATATATTTATGCGTTTGTATCTATACTTGTATATGTGCGTATTTGGGTGGCGAAACCCACACTTAGAACAAATCACATTTTGCCATTATCCATAAATAAATATATATATATATATACACATTTGAACCTATATGCATTTATACGTTTGTGTCTATACTTGTACATGTGCGTATTTGGCTGGCGAAACCCACACTTAGAACAAATCACATTTAGGTTGTAAAATTAGACATCGTGTCCGGGGAATAGCATACATCAAAAATCATGAAACATGCTATTTTGAATGGCAATGTTTGCCAAAATTGTTATAACATGTTGTTTTGAATGGCAATGTTTGCTAAAATTGTTACATAATGGGGTTTGTTTTTGTTCTAAGTGTGTTTGTTTTTGTTCTAAGTAGTGGGGTTCGGATGTTTACGGTTTTTCATTCTAAGTAGTTTCTCCCTGTGATATTTGTCCGAATTTTTTTTCCAAAATTTGTTCTAAGTAGATGTCCGTCGCTATACACCTATAAATCTGAATCCCAACCAGTGTTCTAATGTATTCTGCTGCTAATCTCCGTGTCTGCCGCGCAAGCTCAGGCATTCCTAGTGCACTGCCGTCAGATCAAGAACTTGGAGGGATTTTGCTTATCCCAGCCATGCCGATGGTCAATATGGGGCATACCAGCATGTTTGTGCCTCTGAATTTCATTTCCAAAGCGGGACAATACACAGGGCACCATGCGAACCAGCTCACCAATCAGCTCATGGATTTTGCGTGCAGGCAGACAGCCGCAGAGTGCGGGGCTACGCACGAAATCCGACACCACAAACTCAAGCATGAGGAGGTCGGTGGAGCCGAGTACTATACCCAGAGCTGCAACTCCCTGCGCGCGGCGCATTTGCTTCAACGAGGTGACGTCTCGAGCTTAGTGGTGACAACAAGGGACATGGGCACCCTGGCCGTCTTCTTGCGCATCCTGATTCGAAACTATTGCCCCAACCAGGCCCACTAGTTTGCACACCTTCTCACATGCGCACGCAAACACTAACCAGAATATCATACAAAACTTGTGTCTAGAATTTCCATTACAAGGAAGGTTTCCAGCTAGATGTTGGTTGACCAGTCTGATTGACGCGCAGGTGGTTCAGTTCATCCTTCAGCACAACGAAATGCAAGCCCACGTGCAGTTGAACCAGCACATGCATCATGCCCTGGAGTGGACCGACTTTGCCCATGGAGTCTTAGTGGCTTACCTGCTGCCGGAAGCTGTGTGAAAAAAGAATCATAAGGATGGATTGCAGCAACGGTACTTTACAGAAACATTCTTCCCAGCAAGTCTGCTAGCGTGCGAAAGAAATTTTGCTACAGAGATGACGGTCAAGAGACATTTATTGATGGCATTGCCAGGCTGTTGGCCGTCTTGCGCCAAGCTCTGCGGACCTGACCGTGATCCAACCCGGTGAGGCAACACATACCGTATCAAGAGACTTAGTATATCCCTTTTGGATCCTTTTGGGAGATAGAAAAACAATTCAATAGATATTGTATTGATATTGACATGACATGATGTTGACTATGATTCTGGTCCCTTGTGTTTCCCACGAACCCGGGCACGGCCATTCTGGGCTTGAGGCAGACCCTGGAAAAAGACAAGCACGTCTTCAAACCCATTCCTCTCATGTGCCCCAAATGGTCACAGAACCAGTGTCTGCCAAAAATGCCGCATTTGTTGTGGATACTTTGCCGAGAAATCTCAAGTAAAAAATCACCCATTGTTCACAACCGTTGCAGGTACAGAACCTGGTTGTCTCAGCGCTACTTCTTGAAGCCGCAAGGATTTGGACGCTCCTCAGATCGCATGGAGTGCAGGAGGTAGAGATGCAATTCTTGAGGCGAAGTTGGTGTTTTATGTCGATGTCTCAGTTACTGTGTGGTGTAAAAAAAAGCAAAAAACTTGAAGTACTTACGATTATAAGTGGAATGTTGCATATGTTTTTTGTCCACTCACGATCTTTACGATCCTTGCTAAGATGGATGGATGGAGAAATAGATAAATAGATAAACAGACATTCACATAGAAAATTGTTAAACTATCCCCCCCTTCAACCCTGGAATATTTGGGGGGGGTGTAGGTCAAGAAATTTCTGAGACATATTTCACCTGACCACATGAAATATACCCTCCCTACATACTTTTTGGGCTTCCAAAGGGGGTGGGGGGGGGTCCTCCGGATGCCAGACTTTAATTTAGATATATCTAGATATGCCAAATTGGCTATACATAGATCAAGAAAGCAAACCGCGCATGACCTCCGCGAACCCTTGCTCCTATTCTCTCAAGATACTCAGAAACGCAGCCCTACTGCTGCAATGGAATTTATTGGGAGGGGTGCTTCTAGAGCTGTAAAATACCATGGTTTTGCAACTCCCCCCTCAAAAATATCAAAAAAAGTCTCAAGCAAAATTTGGGAAGAAACAATTATATAAAAATGCACGCTTCAACCGGTTTGCACGTACCTGACTACATCCGCAGGTGCCCGTTGATGCACAAAAGAAAGCGCTAAACTTTTCCATGTCTTATTCTACCGTATATAAGCTCAAAACAAATAGCTGAAATATTTCTATAGGTGTGTGTGGAGGGGTGACACCCACCTTTTTCGAAATATTTCAGTTTTTACCCCCCCCAACCCCCCCCTTAAAGGGTGGGGATGTTAAACTTCATTCAGTCATCACCATTAGAAAAATTAAACTCTTTAACCATGCGATTCATGGTCCACTGGCAACCGTTTAGCGACATCGCCAGGTTGCAGACAGACGAAGATTTGGAACTGATCACATCGTGTGGTCGAAAGCTTCCACGGGCCAAGCGTAGTTGATTCGTCCGAGCAAAACAAAAGGACGTACTGTAGGACACTGTCGGTAGATTTACAATATTTTTTTGCAGATGGTCGTGCTACATTTTCACCAGAAGATCACTACGCAACAGATTGTTTCTGTAATTTTCCCACTTTGTAGGTCCTAAATTTTTGGCAATCTCAGACTCATCTTGTGGTCTCTGTTGTCAATGAAAGAATCACAAAGCCGTGAAGGCATGCATCAAGACTATATACATATCAAGCTCCCAAACATACACACACACAAAACAAATGGATTGTAAGAAAATGAGAGATCCCCTATCAACTTGGTTGTTCACTGCAAAATTATAGTCATCTGTGACATCTTTGATCTGGATCAATTCGAAAGATCACCACGACTGAGGAAAGTCCCATTTACACTTTGGTAAACAAACATACCTATGAAAAAAAGTACCATCCTTCACAGGTACATCAAGTGTGACCATGTTATTTTCAATCACAATGTTAGTTCACCAGAAGGTAACACACGATTCAAGTTCCTTGGTATTCCAAGTTTGGACCAGAAAAAAAATTGGTCGGTCGAATCATCTTCCAGCCAAGTTTTCTCCAAGGGCTGCGGCCAAAGAAGCCGCTGCTAAGCGATCTGCACAGAGTCCGCAGTGCTCCCGTCAATTTCAATGGAGAATCATCCCCACAAACACGCAGGGAGAACAAGAGATCACTCCAATCAAGCCGACTTGACACATACAATGAAAAAGATTTCCAATACTATCCCAATTAAAAAACTGCAGGATACCACGCGAATGCGTCTCTATCCATTCCGGAGAACTATAAGACATAATTTTTTTGCAGACTCAATGCCGTGCGATTAAAAACGCAAACAATAAGATAGAGAAGCAGTCTAAGAAGGCTCCCAGGTGCACATGGCGTATATATACGACCCCCAGACCAACTGTAATCAGCGTCGCAGCGTCGCCCTGCCCCCGCAGCGTCGCAGCGTCGCAGCGTCGCCCTTCTCCCGCAGCGTCGCAGCGTCGCAGCGTCGCAGCGTCGCACTGCAACCGGAGCGTCGCAGCGTCACAGCATCGCCCTGCACCTGCAGCGTCGCAGCGTCACCCTCCTTCCGCAGAGTCGCAGCGTCGCAGCGTCGCAGCGTCGCCCTCCCTGCGGAGCGTCACAGCGTCGCAGCGTCGCAGCGTCACCCTCCTTCCGCAGCGTCGCAGCGTCGCAGCGTCGCCCTCCTTCCGCAGCGTCGGAGCGTCGCAGCGTCGCTCGCTCGCGGGCCCCCTTTCCCCCTGCACTGCGGTATCTTCATTATAGGAGGAGCAATCAGCAAAAAAATCATTTAATCATAAGTAACCCATAATTAATCATAAACAACCCATTACCATATAAATGGCCCCAATAAAAGTTTATTCATGACCAATCAATTTTTATGGCAAGAAATCCCATCAACTTGACTGGCAAAGATGCATTTTATTGGGGGACCTTCCATTTTTTCTGGTTCCAAGGTTCCAAGGTTCCATCACTCGCGCGCTTCCCCAAATGGGGGTAGTCTGGATTTCCAAGGTCAATGAATCAAACAAAATCTATATGAATATTATGCTTTGCTTCGCACTTTAGGTTTTCCCCTTTTTTCTTGTTATCATGTTTATGAAATAAATAAATAAATAAATAAATATATATATATATAGACATGTATTTGATCTCTTTTAATGAAATATATTTGATACATATTTTTTATATAGTAAGAACACCCACCTGCCAAAACCCCTTCACCCCCCTGAGCAGTTCCTCGGCGACTTGAACCAGAGTGTGGGTCCTTGAGCTCAATAATTATTATTCAATAAACCTTCCCATTTACCTCCCACTTGCAGCAAGGCGCAGTAGTGTTCAGTGGCACGGCGCAGAAACTAAATAAAACACACAGTACGCATAGCATCCATTGTTTCCTGCACTAGTTCGCAGCAGCCCAAAGCCCACAACTTGCCAGCTGCACATTATTTGCAGCATTTTGGAAACCACACGCTACTTACATACTACCTACCTGCTGCACGCGCACAAGCTGCAATCAGTGTTTCTCGGGTTTTTTTCTTATTCTATAGGTTCCGGTGTGGTGGTACCGGAGGCTCCGGCGCGGGTTCTGAGGTTTGTCGTCCGTCACCAGGGTTGAAACTTGATAGGTTCACTGGACGTAGCAGTGCATGGTTCTCCTGAAAGGACAATGGTCCATACACACTATGTGTGGAACATGTTACTCCAACAAAATGAAAACTAGAGCGTGCCAGAAATGCCTATCGAGGAACGTCATTGTTTTTCGAATGATGAATTCCCAAGGATGTTAATTGAAGGGTGTCGTAAATGTCTTTAGGGTACCTATCAGTTTGGCATATTTGGAAACTGAATAATGCAAAATTTTGCTTTAAAGTCTGATTTTTTTGGAAACTAGTGCTGTCATGCGTGCCTACCACATTGGCCACTGGCTGTTGATGGATTCATGAGTTTGAGGGGAGAAAAAAGCAGACATAAGCAGACAGATCTCAGGTCAAAGTCCGTTAGAATGAAACATTCCCGACCCTGTTTGGATTAGTAGTTTTTCATGTCAACCAGACACAAAAATCACAGATAGAAAACTGTGACAGATATATATATATATATATATACATGCTTTTCAACTTTCGCTTTTTGGCTTTGGATTGTGATTACCACTTCAAAAATATATACATATATATATATATATATATATACACCTATTTATTTTGATGTGGAAGTAAATTGAAATCAATCTTAAATTGATTGCCAAGTGAATCTAAACTAGATTGACGTTTTTGAATAACAACATATCATATATGAAATCGAAATGACATAAACATGAAATTCTGGACTCTGGACTGAATCTAAACCATTTTTTATATAGTTCCGGAATGGTGGTAAGCACCAAAAAAACTGCTTACTGACGACGCGAAAACGCATTTCTCCCATTTTTCTGAAAAACATCATCTCAAAAAACAAACGACAAACATTATGAAATATGACAAAGAACAATGTAAAGAAAAGAAACCATCAAAATCCTGAAAATTGATGAGAAAATGGTGAAAAGTCACAAAACTGTGTGACAACAATGACGAAATGATAAAATTGAGGAGGAAACTGATGAAACATGAGAAAACCATTATATAAAATGTCAATGTCATGAAAACTGATGAGAAAATGATCAAACATGAAACAACCCAAAAGCTCAGGTTAGGCTAATTTCTATCTATTAGGCTATTTTGTTTTGAAGGTTAAATTCTACCTATTAGGTTGTTTCATTTTCTGACCATGAGGCTGTTTGCCTGTTTGCCTAAATAGTCTATTTAGTCGAATAACCTAAACACTTTGTTTTTTTAGCGCTTTGTCCTTCTTTGAACAAAGCTATGTTTTCAACATTTTAAGCTTCAGACACAATCTTTTCCACGTTTGATTTTTGAATTTTAAAAGTATGTTAAGATATATTTGAAACTATATATGTTGTTTGGCAAATATTTTCTCTTTTGTGAATGATATAGAGTGATATATGTTGTTTACTCAGGATATATGTGGGTCTGAAGTGAATCTGTTTGTGCTAAAGTGAATCTTTTTGTGCTAAGGTGAATCTGAACATTTCAGTACAAATATTTTGGATGGGGCAAACCAACGCAGCATGGAAACAAAAACGCAGACGTCAAAAAACAATATATAACAAAAACATGTTTTGCAACAATAGCGATGGATAGTTTTCGGGGCGCCAAGCCAGCACAGGATAAAACACCAAAAACAAAACTCACTAACTCCGGGGCTACACTTTATTTTTTTTTGTTGGATCTTCGCGCGTGCCTTTCTATACCCCAAAATCAGGCTCCGCAGGTGCCCTCGCGGACCCAACGAAACCAGCAAACACTTTTGGGCAAGGAAACCCGCCCAATAAGAACATATTTTACATCAAGACATGCAAAACCAACACTACAAAATGTATTTATCAGCTGCATCGGTTTTGAGGTTCAAAGGAGCTCATGTGAATTCATGGGTGCTCATTGTTCATTTAATTTGTGTTCATGGGTGTTCATGTGTCTTTTTTTTTTGGCTGCCACCCAGTTATTGAATTTCCAAAAACACGGTTGGTGTGTTGGCTTATTTTTCTGCTATTTGATTGCAAAAACTGTGTCTTAGTGACCAGTTGCAGGTCCCGGAGTGATTGTTCATCCACGGGCTGGTTGTTTTTGGAATGAAATTTGGAGACTGCAAAACCCCAAATTTTTGGCAAAACCCAAGTTTGAAGGGCACTTTTTGAAATAAGTTTGAATGCTGCGCAACGTGGCTGTTTTTTTGGGGGGAAGTAGAGGTGGGCAACCATGTGTTTGAACAAATGTTTGGCGAGGGCTGGTTGTCTTCACGCGTCCTCAGCTGTCATAGTTGTGTCACAGACCGGTTCCAGGAGCTGCCACGGGTTAGCCTCAACTGAGGTCTCATTATGGACCACCTACCCTGCCCCCTCCTGTTCCTCCTTCACCTAATTTAAAATAGATCGTGGGGACTCGTGGAGTCTGAGTAAAAACTTGACAAAGTCATCGGTCCTGAGCTGACTCCTCTTCTTTCTCTTCTCTAACGGCCGGCGTCTTATGCCGCTGTCTTCTTTAACGGCCGGCGACTTATCATTCCTGGGCTACTTAAATGGTCTTAAATGATGGTTTCACAGCTGGTGGTGTTACCCATACACCACCGGCTATGAAACCATGCCTTTACCCATTCACCACCGAGCCACTGAGCTCAGCGGCTTGGTAGTGCATGGGTAGCGTGACCCATACCCCACTGAGCCAGAAAAAAATATTGGGGAAACACATATATAGACTAGATTCTCAGTGGCATGTAAGAACCAAAAATATTGCCTACCTCTTAGTTGAATACCCCCAAACTAAAACCCTTAATTGTGTTCTCTTAAATTTCATGATCCTGCCATTGCTTTTACCTGTATTTGTCATCATTTGCTTCCTGTTGTTTTATTAATCATTTTGTAATAGTTTTGATACTGCTCTTGTCACATTTCATCATGGTTCTCCTCAATTTTCATCACCTTGTCACATGTTTTTTTTGTTTAATTAATCACGTTTCATCATGTGTCTCGCCAATTTTCATGACTGTGTTCTTTTTTCATGTGTTCATCATTTTGCCTAATTTTTCTCATCCATTTTCATCATTTCGTTACTGTTTGAAAGGTGTTTGCACTTTTCACCATTATCATTTTCTTATCATTTTTCATCATATTGCGATGTTTTTATTGTTATTCTCATATTTCATCATTTTCTCATCAAGTCTCATCATTTCGTCATTGTTTTCGACATGGTTTTGCGACCGTCCGCATTTTTCTCATCAACTTTCAGCATCGTGTCAGTGTCATTGACATAGTTTTATCATAGTTCATCATGCTTCTCATATCTTCTTCATTTTGACATTGTTTCTGTTTTTTTTATCGCATTTCATCATCTTACTCATAATATGTCATCATTTTGTCATTGTTTTTGAATGTGTTGTTCATCACGTTTCATCATCTTTCTCAACAATTTTCATCATCGTGCCATGGTTTTTTTGCATAGTTCTTATCACATGTCATGCAAGGATCTCATCATTTTCATGTTTTGGTCATCAATTTGATCATGTCGTTATTGTTTCTTATATGGTTTCCGGTTTCCCAAAAGCTCAGGCCAGGCTAATTTCTATCTATTAGACTATATCGTGTTTTCTAACTATTAGTAAACTTCTTGTTTGTAACTATTAGGTAAAACGCCTGTTTTACCTAATAGTCAGAATGGTCAAATAACATTTTTCCTGTAGGTTATTTATATAGATAGCCTTTTTTTCTTGCTTATTTTTGTTATTTTTCTTCATGTTTTATTTCGATATTGTAACTTTCAATGGAGCATGTTTTGGTTTGATACAGTTTTTTTCTGATACGATGAGGCTGTCAAACCACATGCCAAAAAAATACAATATTTTTGGGATGGGACAAACTAACACAGGATAGAAAAAAAAACGCATGTCAAAAAAATATAAGTTTTACATACATATATATATATATATGCACACACACACACCCACCTGGGTATGTCTCAACATGAGGTGTCCTTTTTTGGTTCCAAAACAGTTGCTTTACGAGGAAAAAAGGACACCTCATTTTGAGACACCCCTACACACACACGTATATATATATATATGAGATATATGTGTCAAAAACCATGTTTTGCAACAATGGATTGCTTCCTGGGGTGCAAAGCCAACACAG